AAAAAAAAAAAGAAAAACAAAATTAAGGCCCTTTTGAATTTGCAGAACTCCTGTGCCAGTGCAAGCCTTGCCTTGGGTGAGTGAAGATCCTGTCCCCTCTTCCTTTCCTTGTATGTTGCCTTATTCCACCTGCAGTTCCTGGTCCACAAAACAGATCTGGTTTTTCCTTCCAGTCTTCCCCCGTGCCTTGGCCAAACTCAAACCATAAATAAAAAGAAACAGTGACCAGGCATGGTGGCTTTCGCTGTAATCCCAGCACTTTGTGAGGCTGAGGAGGGAGGATTGCTGGAGGCTAGGAATTCAAGATCAGCCTGGCAACATAGTGAGACCCTGTCTCTACACAAAATTTAAAAATTACCCCGGCACTGTGGTACGCACCTACAGTCCCAGCTACTCTGGATGATGAGTTAGGAGGATTCCTTTTTTCCAGTTTTCTTTTCTTGACATTAACTTTTTCATATTTTTAGTGGAGACAGGGTTTCGCCATGTTGGCCAGGCTGCTCTCAAACTCCTGACCTCAGGTAATCCACCTGCTTTGGCCTCCCAAGTGCTGGGATTACAGGCACCTGCCCTTGACATTAATTTTTTTTTTTTTTTTTGAGACGGAATCTCGTTCTGTTGCTCAGGCTGGAGTGCAGTTGTGCAATCTTGGCTTGCTGCAACCTCTGCCTCCTGGGTTCAAGCAATTCTCCTGTCTCAGCCTCCAAAGAAGCTGGGATTACAGGTGCGCCCCGCCCCCCTCACCACACCTGACTAATTTTTTCATATTTTTAATATAGATGAGGTTTCACCATGTTGGTCAGGCTGTTCTCCAACTCCTGATCTCAAATGATCTGTTCACCTCAGCCTCCCAAAGTGCTAGGATTACAGGCATGAGCCACAGCGCCAGGCCGACATTAACTTTTTAAAGAGTCTAGGAGTAGTTGTCTTATAGAATGTCACAACTCTGAAATTGTCTTCAGATTGACCTTTTAAAATCATAAATCAGATTAAGTCATTCCCTGTTTCAAATCCTCCAATGGATTTTCATTGCATTTAAAATCAGCTATTTACTCTGATTTTAAAAGTTCTGTGATCTGTGACTCCTTCCCATGCCTCTAACCTCACCTTTCCCACTCTCTTCTCTCATCTGCCTTGTGCCAGCCTCACTGACCTTTCTCTAATTCCTCAAACATGCCAAGCTCATCCCAGCCTTACCCCTCTGCTCAGGTGATGACTGAATACAATTCATGATTTTCAAATCCTAGATTGCCTGGAAATAGCTACAAAGAATGTTATTGGGGCAATTGAGGGAATTTGAATATGGGCTGTGTATTAGATAATATCGTTTTATCGGTGTTAAATTTCTTTTTTGTTAGTTTAAATTTTTTTTTTTTTTTGAGATGGACTCTTGCCCTGTCACTGAGGCTGGAGTGCAGTGGTATGATCTCAGCTCACCGCAACCTCCACCTCCCGGGTTCAAGCAATTCTCTGCTTCAGCCTCCAGAATAAAGTAGCTGGGATTACAGGCATCCACCACCATGCCAGGCTAAATTTTGTATTTTTAGTAGAGACAGGGTTTCATCATCTTGCCCAGGCTGGTCTTGAACTCCTGACCTCGTGATCCACCCACCTTGGCCTCCCAAAGTGCTGGGGATTACTGGCGTGAGCCACTGTGCTGGGCCAAAAATTTTTTTACATGAATAAAACAAAGGCAGATTAATGTTAAATGTCTTTAGTGGGCTAATCCTACTGTGGTTATGGAGGAAAATGTCTTTATTCTTGGCAATACATGCTAAAGTATTCAGAGATTAAATACGATGACTTCTGACACTGCCAGAGGAATTGTGGCAAAATAGTGATAACTGGTAAATCCAAGAGACGGGTACATTGGTGTTCATAGCAGCATTCTCTCAATGTCGTCCTGGGTTTGATTGTTTTTCAAAATAAAATGGAGTAAAAGGTGGACAATTTAAAGAAAAGTATCTTAATCCAGGAATACTTAAAAATCGTTAGGGCATTTATCAAAATGCACGTTCTAAAGATTTGGAAGATCTGGGTGGGACCCAGGAGTCTGCCTTTCCACGGCCTGAGTGACCCTCGGGCAGCTGCCTAGGCCACACCTTGAGCAGGTCACTGAGCATCTGCCCTCCGAGTGTGGCTCGCTGGCACAGCCCTTTCTTTCCCATTCTCCAGCTGAGGAGTGGCTGGCTGAAAGTTCAGGCAGGCAGATGGAGATGTGATTTTACAGAGAGGGTGGAACTGGAGATTGTGGGCATAGCAGAGAATGGCAGGCAGTTGAGGAAAGATTTTGTCTTCCTGCCCTGTCTTTTGGCTTCTGGAGGAACAGAGGAGGCTCCTAGAACCCAGAGGAAGAATGGAATAGGGGCTCCAAACTCCTAATACCAGTGCTTCTCTGACTCTATTTTACATCCCCTTGGATAAATATCATCTTTAAACAAACAACAAAAAGAGGTCACAATAAATTTTGAAGTATTTCCCAAATTCCAGTGTTCCTGGATCCTTGAGTTTTGAACTTAACGTAGATGCAGGCTGAACCTGTCAGCATGTTATTCTGACTTCTGACCAGAAGGTGGCAGCAACACACCTCACTTTATTTTAGGGGCCACCAAACGAGATTTTTCAGGTGCCTCACACACATATGGTTGACCTAGGTCCCTCCCCAGATACCACGGAAAAAAAAGATGAGTAAGATCTGATCGCTGCCCCAAGATCATATTGTCAGAAAGCGGGGAGTCAGAGTCAGAGATATAAACAGATTACTAGTTATAAGCTGTGGGACCTTAGGCAAATTGCTTAATCTCTCTGTGCCTCAGTTTCTTCAACTGTGAAGTGGGAATAGTAATAGTACCTATGTCACAGGGTTACTGTGAGGAGTAGGAGTGATTAAATGTGTTAGACATAACAAGAGGTGGCCATTATTATGTGATACAGTGAGAGAAGGGATGAGTGGGCAGAGATGCCCACAGTGCTCCCCAACTGGGAACAGTGGAGATAATGGGAAGGAGTTCTACTCTGGTCAAGCCACTCTGTCAGTGGGGACCCTGCAGCCAACCTGGGCTGGGAGAGTCTACCTTCAAAAGTGGGTGCTGGATCCCTTCCAGCTGAGGCTCACCTTGGGTCCCGCAGGCGCAGAGCACAGAATGCCAGCAGGGCCACCCAGGGCCTGATCAACCAGGATGTGCCCTCTCAGAGAGAAAACCACCACTAGCTCACAGTGCAAGTTCAGACAAGCAACTTGGTCCCTCTGAACCTTGGGTCCTACCTAAGTGATGGGGAAATGGGACCACAGGAACCACGGAACAGTGCTGAGTTCCACATCTGGGACATCACAAGAGCAACTATAAAGTCAGGCAATTCAGGGGCAGCAGGGACTTGGAGCCAGGAACAAAAATAAAGCTAGAGGCTGGGTGTGGTGGCTCATGCCTGTAATCCCAGCACTTTTGGAGGCTGAGGCAGGTGGACCACAAGGCCAGTGATTGAGACCATCCTGGCCAACATGTTGAAACCCTGTCTCTACTAAAATACAAAAAATTTGCCAGGTATGGTGGTGCCAGCCTGTAGTCCCAGCTACTCAGGAAGCTGAGGCTGGGGAATTGCTTGAACCCAGGAGGTGGAGATTACAGTGAGCCAAGGGCATGCCACTGCACTCCAGCCTGGGGATGGAGTGAGACTCAGTCTCAAAAAAAAAAAAAAAAAAGAAAACAAACAAAAAGCTGAGGCCGTGCACAATGGCTCACACCTATAATCCAGCACTTTGGGAGGCCGAGGTGGGTGGATTGCCTGAGCTCAGTAGTTTGAGATCAGCCTGGGCAACATAGTGAAACCCCATCTCTACCAAAAATACAAAAAATCAGCCAGGGGTGGTGGTGTGCTCTATTCCGGGACTGAGGCAGGAGGAGAGTTTGAGCCTGGGAGGCGGATGTTGCAGTGAGCTGAGATTGTGCCACTGCATTCCAATGTGGGTGACAGAGACCTCATCTCAAAAATAAAAATAAAATAAATAAAGCTGGGAAGGCAAAGGAATCCTGGAGAGGACATTGGACTTCACTCAGTATGTGGAGTGGAAAAAAGCCTGAAGCTTTTTTAAATTTTATTTTGGTTATTTATTTAGAGACAGGGTCTCACTTGGTCACTGTGTCTGGAGTCCAGTGGTGCAGTCACGGCTGACAGCAGCCTTGACCTCCTGGGCTCAGGTGATACTCCCACCTCAGTCTCCCAAGCAACTGGGACTACAGGTGCATGCCACCATGCCTGGCTAATTTCTGTGTATGTTTTGTAGAGATGGGGTTTCGTCATGTTGCCCAGGCTGGTCTTGAACTTCTAGGATCAAGCGATCTGCTCACCTTGGCCTCCCAAAGTGCCAGGATTACAGGTGTGAGTAACCTTGCCTGGCCTGGAGTGGAGGTTTGGGTCAATCCTAGACCTTGAGAGGCAAGGAGACCCCAGCTGACAGTTGCAAGTTTTTTTTTTTGTTTGTTTGTTTTTTTGAGAGGGAGTCTTGCTCTGTCACCCAGGCTGGAGTGCAGTGGTGGGATCTCGGCTCACTGTAACCTCTACCTCCTGGGTTCAAGCAATTCTCCTGCCTCAGCCTCCCGAGTAACTGGGACTACAGGTGTGTGGCACCACAGCCAGCTAATTTTTTGTATTTTTAGTAGAGACAAGGTTTCACCAGACATGTTAGTAGAGACAGGGTTTCACCAGACATGTTAGCCAGGATGGTCTTGATCTTCTGACTTCGTGATTTGCCCACCTCAGCCTCCCAATGTGCTGGGATTATAGGCATGAACCACCGCACCCAGCTGGCATGTCTTTGTGCTATCACCGTTCTTTGGCCAGCCACGGATCTCTTTACTCTCCCATGTCTTACCTAATGCCCTCCTAATCCAGCTTTGAGTCTACAGCTTGGCATATAACAGCACTCTTGCCAGTAACCTAAATGTCATGGCTCACCTTCCCTGCAAACCCCTGAACACATATAATCGTCGTTTCTCTTCCAGCCTTCATCAGAACAGTCAAGGGAGGCAGGAGAAGGAGGGGCAATGAGAATACTGGCAAATACTTCTGCAGCACGTACTAGGTGCCAAACACTAAGTGCTTCACGGAGGGTAACTCGTTTAATCCTCCCACACCATGAGGTAAGTACTATTATTATTATTATTTTTTTGGTAAGTACTGTTATTAGCATCCCCATCTGTGTATAAAGAAAATGGGGTGAACGGAGGTTAAGTCACTCAGAAAACCCAAAGCACACAGCTAATTAAGTTGAGCAGCCATGATGGAACCTGCGCTGTCTGCAGGTCCCGGTCCACCAGGAGAGGATGAGGCCACAGAGGACTCGGCTTCTTCTGCCTTGGGTCCATCACTGCTCTCAGCCACCTGGGGCACAGATCAAAAGAAGCCCAGATCCTCGCTGCTCTTGGGGCTGACAGTATCACTCCAGAGGTTAATAATAACAATAGTAATAATAAAACCAGCTTCAGGCTTTAAGATGTGTGTCCTAAGCACTTCACATGTATTTATTTATTCCCTTAGTCTTTCCAACAACACTATGAGGTAGAAGCTACCTTTTTATCTCCCTTTTCCTGAGGGACGTGAAGGGACGTAGCAACACCTAAATTCTACAACAGAGGGGCTGGGCTCGGTGGCTCATGCCTGTAATCCCAGCACTTTGGGAGGCCAAGGTGGGTGGATCACGAGGTCAAGAGATCGAGACCATCCTGGTTAACATGGTGAAACCCCATCTCTACTAAAAATACAAAAAATTAGCTGGGCATGGTGGCGCGTGCCTGTAACCCCAGCTACTCAGGAGGCTGAGGCAGGAGAATTGCCTGAACCCAGGAGGCGGAGGTTGCAGTGAGCCAAGATCATGCCATTGCACTCCAGCCTGGGTAACAAGAGCAAAACTCCGTCTCAAAATCAATAAAAAAAAAAAAAATCTACAACAGAGAGTGGTGGATCAGATGGGAAGTGTGGCGGTTGGATGCCAGAGCCTGGCTCTTAACCCAGACTCTTTGCCTACCTTTGCTATGCGGGGAGTCTCTGGCCTGCTCCTTCTGCGTGAGGGGAGGAGCCTCTTCTGTCTTGCAGTTCCCCACCAGGCCCGATCCACAGCTCCAGAGCCCTGCTGCGGCAGCCCTCTGTCCCCTCCCCACCGAGGCATGTAGGTGGCCCACAGACTGCTTAAGCAGTGTGGGGACAGGAACTCCAACTGGAACTCCCCAGGACCAGCCCAGCCCCAACAGCCTCTACTCTCAGAGGCCTGGATCCCCCACCAGCTCCCTGTAGACAGGGCCTGAGCTGGTCCTCCTCAGGCCTTGCCTGCCTCTCCCTGTGCAGCGCAGGCTCCCTGCTCCTGGAGGGTGGGGCTGAGTCCGGGATGGATGGGGCTCAATGCCCGGGGCTGCGGCAGAAAGCACCAAGGCTTCCCTAGCCCCCTCCTCACATCCGCCAAGCCTTCCAGCCCTATCCCAGGTGGAGCCCTACTCCTCCCCATTCCCAGGAGTTAGGGGAGGCCAAGCTCTCATTTATGCGTACTGTCCCATCTCTCCCTCCCTCCCGCTTCCCACTCCCCTGGCAACCAAACCAGACCCACCAAGGAGAAGGAACTGGCAGCTGTGCAGGGAGAGACTAATGGCCCGGAAGGAAGGAGGGGCCTGGAGAGGAGATGAAGGCGGTAGGGACCAGAGCAGGGCGTTGGCCCTGGCCCTTCTCAGAGGACAGACAAAGGGGGGAGGGGACCGCTGCCCTGAAACACTGAGGAGCTGGCCGGCCAGGGAGCAGCCCTCCTCACCCCCAGCCAGATATCCAGCCTGGAGCCTCAAACCTGCTTCCCAGACACACTCTCTTGTCCTGAGGTCCTATCTGAGGCAGACCCTCTCTAGGAGAGTGCTGGAGTCCCCGGAGCAGCAGCAGCCCAAGCCCTGTGGTTCCTGGCAAACCCAGCAGACCTCCGCAACGCGGCTCCTGCAGACCATCTGAGCTGCCTCCGTCTACTCCTGGGCAGCCTGTGCTTGCATTCTGGAAGCTGTTTGACGTACAAAGGCCAGATATCAGCCTTCCCAATAACTCTGGGGTAGGGGAGGGTATGGTGGGGTGTGTGATTGTGTATTTGTGTATATGTAACATGTGTGCACATAGGTATACAAGGCTATGTGTATGCATCCGTTTGTGTGCACAGGTTTGTGGACCCGTTCTGGGGCCTTCTCTCTCTTTCAGACTGCTGGGGGTGGGCACCTTCTCTTTCTCCATCTCTTCCCCATCCAGCCCCACCTATCCCTGGTACCTGCAACTCATCAATACTGGAAACTGGCTCCTACCAATCTATCCACCCCTCAGCCCCCTCCCCTTCCCACCTCAGGAATCACTCTGGTTCCCGTAAAGCCCATGACTGAGCAGCAGTTGGTGTGGGGTTGGGGGGAGGGAGGATCCAGTAAATCTGGACCGAATACAAGAGGCCCACTCAGCCCAGCCTCTGGCATAGGGCAGACCCTCCCAAGTGGGAACCAGAGCTGGGTCCAGCCACACTCATCCGCCTATGATGTACCCACCTCATTGGGGCTCGTTGAGAGGAAGGTCTAGGTTTGGGGGCTGTGTCTTTAATGCTGAAACATCAGCAGACAACCTCTGCTGGGCCGTGTTCAGAAGAGGGGGAGGGGGCTGGTCAGTCCATTAGCAACAGAGCTGGCGCCAAGCACCAGCCCTTCACAGGGCCCTGGGGATTAGGGAGAGTAGCTCTTTCCCAGCCCACCCTGCCTCTGAGCTCCTGCCTCCTATTCCTCTCTGGGTGTGGTAAAGGAGGGATAGCTGACAGCAGGTGAAAACAGAGGCTGGCTTTCAGGGGGCAAGTCAAGGCACCAGCTATGGTGCCTAAGCCAGGGCAGCTCTCCCTCCAGCTGGCCTCCCTACTCCTGTGCCAGAAGCCTGCCCTTTCACTTCCGGTCCTCCTACCCCGCAATTTCCAGGGACCCTAGTTCAAATCAGACCCTCCCGCCCTAGGTTCTAGCTTTGAGTGCTTGTTGGGAGGTAGTGACCCCCACCCCAGCGGCAACAGGGGGCAATCAAGTGGGCAGAGGCCTGCAACCAGGGAAGGGAGGGGAAGGCGCTCCTGCTGTTCCGCAGGGGTGGGGCATCCCCCTCCCCACACAACCCCCCTCCAGCGGGCCATCAGGCCAGTGGGAGGAGCTGCCCGTGCCCCCCCAGAGACCGCAGGGCTATAAAGCCGCCTCGCAGCGGTCTGCGGCTCCTTCCCAGCCCCCGGCCTAGCTCAGCGAACGGAGACTGCCCATCCTCGGCCGCAATGAGCCACCACCCCGCGGGCCTCCGGGCCGGCTTCAGCTCCACCTCATACCGCCGCACCTTCGGGCCACCGCCCTCGCTATCCCCCGGGGCCTTCTCCTACTCGTCCAGCTCCCGCTTCTCCAGCAGCCGCCTGCTGGGCTCCGCGTCCCCAAGCTCCTCGGTGCGCCTGGGCAGCTTCCGTGGCCCCCGGGCGGGAGCGGGCGCCCTCCTGCGCCTGCCCTCGGAGCGCCTCGACTTCTCCATGGCCGAGGCCCTCAACCAGGAGTTCCTGGCCACGCGCAGCAACGAGAAGCAGGAGCTGCAGGAGCTCAATGACCGCTTCGCCAACTTCATTGAGAAGGTGCGTTTTCTGGAGCAGCAAAACGCGGCCCTACGAGGGGAGCTGAGCCAAGCCCGGGGCCAGGAGCCGGCGCGCGCGGACCAGTTGTGCCAGCAGGAACTGCGCGAGCTGCGGCGAGAGCTCGAGCTGTTGGGCCGCGAGCGTGACCGGGTGCAGGTGGAGCGCGACGGGCTGGCGGAGGACCTGGCAGCGCTCAAGCAGAGGTCAGGGGGCAGGGCTGGGCTGCGGCCGTCGGGGCGGCTGCTCTTCTCTCCCCTCCCTTCCCCTCTCCATCAGCAGCCCAAGGGTGTGGATCCCCTTCCTTACCAACCCAGGTGTGTGCGGGCAGCATCCTTACTCGTGGGCTCTAAGTGCCCCCCCCCACTTTGCTCTTAGTGTCTGGGGAGGTGAGAGAAGTGGGTATCTATGCTTCCCCTTAGTAATGAGGGAACCTCCTTTTCAGCTCCCAGCCCGTTAGAGAGAAAGTGGTGCAATTCCATCAGGCAGCCTCAGCCCTCCATTTAGAGTCCTGGGCAGCAGCAACAGCCTCTGACCGGATCCCGGGAGGGGGTGGGGCGCAGTCTGGGGTGCGAGCTGGGCGACCCCGCAGTTCAGCTTCTGCACACGCTTCCCGTCAGGTTGGAGGAGGAGACACGCAAGCGGGAGGACGCGGAGCACAACCTCGTGCTCTTCCGCAAGGTGAGCCCCAACCCCACTTCGAGTTCAGCCTCCCCACCCCTACCCCCTGACCTCAGTATCCAGAGGTGACATCAGTGGGCGCAGGGAGAGGGGGCAACCAGACCCCTTCCGAGGCAGGCAGGGAAGGCCCGGTTCTTCCTTGGCCTGCACAGCCCCTAACTTCTCTTGAACCTCCACTGCCACCCCTCGAAGGATGTGGACGACGCCACTCTGTCCCGCCTGGAACTAGAGCGCAAGATTGAGTCTCTGATGGATGAGATTGAGTTCCTCAAGAAGCTGCACGAGGAGGTAGGTGGGCCCGGTATCAGGGGAGGCTTCTGAGGCTGCGGGGTGGTCTCGCTGGAGCTGGCGGGCGGAGCGGAGGCATCGCCCTGGGGATCCGTGAGGTTCGCTGCGTAGACGCAGTCTCTCCACCCCAGTCTACAGGTGGTTAGACTCCCACCCTTGCGCCACCTGGCGGCGGGCTGCGGGGCTGTACCTCCGAAACGGGTCCTCGTGTCTTGTGCCCGCGGGGGCGCAGGGCTGTGCCCCTCCCCGCCTTCCCTGGCGCCTCCTTCTGTTCGTTCAAGCGTTTCTTCTCTTTTCTGCGCGGCCTGCGTGGATGTGTCCCACTGTCCATCCTCTGCCCGCTCACGGCCGTAGGAGCTGCGAGACCTGCAGGTGAGCGTGGAGAGCCAGCAGGTGCAGCAGGTGGAGGTGGAAGCCACGGTGAAGCCGGAGCTGACGGCAGCGCTGAGGGACATCCGGGCGCAGTACGAGAGCATCGCTGCGAAGAACCTGCAGGAGGCGGAGGAGTGGTACAAGTCCAAGGTGAGAGCGCCAGGAGAGCCTGCGAGGCAGGGCGATGGGGTGGTGTCGCGACCTAGCCGGCTCAAGCCTGGGTTACCCCACTTCGCAGTACGCGGACCTATCCGACGCTGCCAACCGGAACCACGAGGCCCTGCGCCAGGCCAAGCAGGAGATGAACGAGTCCCGACGCCAGATCCAGAGTCTAACATGCGAGGTGGACGGGCTGCGCGGCACGGTGAGTACGAAGCTGCGCGCCTGGGCCTGGGGAGCGGACGATGAAATGTTCCTCAACTGGCCCCTTCCATTCCCCTACCCCAGAACGAGGCCCTGCTCAGGCAGTTGAGGGAGCTGGAGGAGCAGTTCGCCCTGGAGGCTGGGGGCTACCAGGCGGGCGCTGCGCGGCTCGAGGAGGAGCTGCGACAGCTAAAGGAGGAGATGGCGCGGCACCTGCGGGAGTACCAGGAGCTCCTCAACGTCAAGATGGCCCTGGACATCGAGATCGCCACCTACCGCAAGCTGCTTGAGGGCGAGGAGAGCCGGTGAGGGCGGGGATGCTAGGGCGGGGCAGGGAGAGGCAAGGACTGGGCGGGGCAGGGCGGGGCCTGGGCAGGGGCGCTGACAAGTTGCTTCGCCTGCAGGATCTCCGTGCCCGTCCATTCTTTTGCCTCCTTAAGTATAAAAACGACTGGTGAGTCCTCCACGTCTGGCTTGCAGCCTGTACCTCTCCCTGTCCACTTCTGCCCTCCTCGGGCTCCTGCTCTGGCTCACCTCAGGGATCTATTCTCTCCACGGAACTTCTGGGTCCTGGCCTGCACCCGCCCCTACTCCTCGAACTCCGCCCCTCCCCTTCCCTCAGGGGTGGGAGTGGGAGCCTAAGAGGAGAGATTCCCAAGCTTTCCCCCTTGTACCCCTCATCCTACTTTCTCCAGTGCCTGAGGTGGAGCCTCCCCAAGACAGCCACAGCCGGAAGACGGTTCTGATCAAGACCATTGAGACCCGGGATGGGGAGGTGAGGCAGGTCCCCTAATCCCAGGACTCCATCATTTCCCATATTGTTTCTGAGCCCCAGCCTGGCTGCCCCTGATCTTACTTGGGATGGGTAGTTCTTGGCGAGAGGCAGAGGAGGAGAGAGAGGAGGTGGATGGATAGACAGGCGCCTTTGCTGGTTACCCAGGGAGTGGGGCTGTATGATCCAAAGGAGGAGGATGGAGGGTGGCGCTGCATGGCTTGTGCCGATCATGTGCCCTGTCCTCAGCAGGTGGTGACAGAGTCCCAGAAGGAGCAGCGCAGTGAGCTGGACAAGTCTTCTGCCCACAGTTACTGAACCTCTTGGTCCAGGGCCTTGACTCTGCCCTAGGCCTATGCTAAGCCCAAACCCTAAGGCCACTCCTGAATCAGTCTCCTCTCCCTCTGCATGTGTCTAAAAGGTGGTATCAGGCATCCCTCTCCTGGCTAATGGCCAAGCCCTACCCGGCCAGCAGTTGCTGGGCCTCTCCCTTCCCTGACACTTGATGTGACCTATGTGCTTTCCCTTTCATGTCCCGATAAGAAGTCAATGACTCCCCCAGGACAAATCTCCTCCAGCCACGATCCCATGAGAAGTGAGTGAGCCAGGGTCTGAGTTTCATGTTTTAATCAAATAAAATGCTGTCAAGAGAAAACTAACTCTCCAGTGCATTTGTGTCTGTGGATGTGCGTGTGGGGTGCCTGAGGGGAGGAGCCTTGGCGGTTGCCTTGGCGGTGTTCTCCCTTTGTCTCAAGTCATTTTTCTGGCTCTCACTCTTATGGCATCAGTAAGCCTTTCTGGGTTTTCTACCTCTATCCATTCATTCTCAGCTTTTGTTCCTCACCTGCAGTCTGGGCTCAAGTGATCCTCCTGCCTCAGCCTCCCAAAGTGCAGTGTATACAGTTGTAAGCCACCACACCTGAGTGGCAGATACCACTTGAATCAAATAATCAAAGTAACAGGACACATTGAAACAGGAGCCACCTGATAGGATGCAGTAGGAAGAAAACAGCCTAACTTCTGTGACAGTCCTGACAAAGATTATACCATGAGTCTAATCATAAGAAAACATCAGGCCGGGCGCGGTGGCTCAAGCCTGTAATCCCAGCACTTTGGGAGGCCGAGGCGGGTGGATCACGAGATCAAGAGATCGAGACCATCCTGGTCAACACGGTGAAACCCCGTCTCTACTAAAAATACAAAACATTAGCTGGGCATGGTGGCGCGTGCCTGTAATCCCAGCTACTCAGGAGGCTGAGGCAGGAGAATTGCCTGAACCCAGGAGGCGGAGGTTGCGGTGAGCCGAGATCGCGCCATTGCACTCCAGCCTGGGTAACAAGAGCGAAACTCTGTCTAAAAAAAAAAAAAAAAAAGAAAAAAAGAAAACATCAGACAAACCCAAACAGAGGGAAATTCTACAAAATAAGTGGCCTGTAATCCTCAAAATGTGAGGTTATGAAAGTAAAAAATGAAGAACTGTTTTTTTTTTTAATTTTTATTTTTAATTCACGTGGGTGCAGGTGGGCTAAGGCCGAAAAGAGCGTTAGCCTGAAGAACTGTTTTATACTGAAGAAGGCTAAAGAGATATGACAACTAAATGCAACACATGAATCTAGACTAGATCCTTTTTCTATAAAGGACATCACAGAGAAAACTGGTGAAACTTGAATTGGTTCTGTATTAAGGTTCTTCAGAGAGACATAACCAACTGGATACATGAAAGGGGATTTATTAGGGAATTGGCCACATGATCACAGAGGCAAAATCCCATGATACGCTCTTTTCAGGCCGGAGAACCAGAGAACCTGGTAGCATGGCTCAGTCCAACTCCAGAAGCTTCAGAGCCCAGGGAAGCCAACAGTACAACCCCCTTGTCGGAGGCCAAAGGCCTAAAAAACCCTGAGAGGCCGCTGGTGCAAGTCCCAAAGTCTAAAAGCTGAAGAACCTGGAGTCTGTTGTCCAAGGGCAGGAGAAGAAAAAGCAGATTGCTCTGGAGGGGGAGTTTGAGAAATCCCCCACTTCTGCCTGTTTGTCCAAACCCACCCCAAGCAGTTGGATGATACCCACCCACGCTGAAGGCGTGTCTTCTTCTCTCAATTCAAGGCCTCACAGCCAATCTCCTCTGTAACATCTGTACAGATATATGCACAAACAATCCTTCACCAGCCTTCTAGGCATCTCTCAATCCAGTCAAGTTGACGCCTGAAGTTAACCATTCCAGGGCCTGAGGGTTAGGTGGTCAGAATGTATCAGAGTTGAGCTAGGCTCAGTGGCTCACGCCTGTAATCCCAGCACTTTGGGAAGCCAAGGCACAGATCACTTGAGGTCAGGAATTCGAGACCAGCCTGGCCAACATGGTGAAACCCCTGTCTCTACTAAAAATACAAAAATTAGTTGGGCATGGTGGCGGCTGCCTGTAATCTCAGCTACTCAAGAGGCTGAGACAGGAGAATCACTTGAACCCAGGAGGTGGAGGGTGGGGTAAGCCAAGATCACACCCCTGCATTCCAGCCTGGGCAACAAAGACTCCCTCTCAAAAAAAAATTTTTTTTAATTAATAAAAAGAAATGCACACTGAAATATTTGAGGCAATATATTGTTAATTTGCTCTCAAATGGTTGAGAAAAAATGCTATGTGTATTCTTGTAAATGTTCTATAAGTTTAAAATTGTTTCACAAAAACAGAGAAAAAAGTTACTCTTTTGAATAGAAGCTTCAGATGGTTTCCTACAAGTCAAGGTTGCTCCAGCACTGTTGCTGTTAATATAATATTGAAAATATTCTGTGATAGTGTAAGAAAAAGAAATCAACAAAATTAGGGCCAAGTGTGGTGGCTCATGCTTGTAATCGCAGCACTTTGGGAGGCTGAGATGAGTGGATCACTGGAGGTCAGGAGCTCAAGACCAGTCTCACCAACAGAGTAAAAACCCTATCTCTGGCCGGGCACGGTGGCTCAAGCCTGTAATCCCAGCACTGTGGGAGGCCGAGGCGGGTGGATCACGAGGTCAAGAGATCGAGACCATCCTGGTCAACATGGTGAAACCCCGTCTCTACTAAAACTACAAAAAATTAGCTGGGCATGGTGGCGCGTGCCTGTAATCCCAGCGACTCAGGAGGCTGGGGCAGGAGAATTGCCTGAACCCGGGAGGCGGAGGTTGTGGTGAGCCGAGATCGCGCCATTGCACTCCAGC